TTACAGTTACGACTGCCATCCGTTAGCTTTGTGAGAAGCTGATGTGAGTAAATCAGAGTCCAGGTAACCAGCCGGTATCAGATGAGAACCGAGGAGCTGAGCGGGGCGATAGATGGTGCTACGCCCTGTCTAGAATCAGGATGTCACAAGACGACTTCCATTCCTCCTGCAGCATCCCAACCAACCTCGCTCGACCCGCTGTGCCACCTCAACCGTTCATTACCTCCATCGAGGATGTTGTTGTCAGTAATGTTGGTATGTTTGTCTGTGCACAAGATAACCCAAAATGTGAATGGATCTGTATGAAATTTTTTAGAATTGTTCAGCCTGTCACAAAAAACCCCCAAACGATTTATTTTGGTGGTGATGTGGATCACTATCCAGATCCAGGACAGCGTTTCCACTAGATTACATAACGTGGCAGGGGGCTCTTCTCTTCCGTGATTTTTGTCGACTGGGGGTGGGGGGGGGGGCTTGGAGGGGGGGGGGGGAAGCCGGAGACACTTCTGTGTTTCACTTTGTTTGTACGGACAGTTACGTGGTGGGGGGGGGGGGGGGAGACAGCTCAGTGTGAGAGAAGCAGAGCGCTACCTCTAGCATTTTAGCTAACGCACCTGTATTCGCACCATATGACAGTGCCGGCAGTTGTACACAAGGGTTTGGTGCGGTAGGCAAGGCACTCTGTTCTATTGACAGGGCGGGGGGCCCTGCTTATACAATTGTAGGGGAAACACTGCAGAAATGAAACAGGCTGCTGCAGCTTGCTGTGTTGTGACAGAAACGATAAGAAAAAAACAAGGACAGGTAGGAATCGTGCCTCGCTCTACGTCTGCGTCTGTTTATTGACTGAGAAAACTAAAATCAGAACGTATGATGAAAGAGCTTCAGCTCGTCGTAACGGCTTCATGCGACAGCGTGAGCGGCCCTGGAGTCTCTGCGTTGGTGCGCTCTGAGTGAATCTAGTTTGTAGTTTTGTGAGGTGAGAGCTGCCATTCCTTCAATGTTTTTCTCCTGTTTATTGGTCTAGAAAGGTAAGAAAACCGTTTTATGAACTTTATTTTTGCACATAGGTAAGAGAAGGAATAAAATTATGGTTCAGGTTTAGTTGGCTATTTTGACCTGGACTCACCCCGATCACGGTAAGACTAAATTTGGTAAAAATATTCACTGTAAAAAAAGTCTGTTTCTACAAAACTACAATCCCGTCTAGTTGGAATCATGTTCATGTTCCATCCTGCCACCTCCTAGACTGGGAATGACTCAGCATCTAACAAAATTCCAAAATAATGGCGTATCTCAGTGAGCTGCCACTGCTGGAGACTCGAAATATCAAGAAAACAGGAAATCTTTAGTTGCGGTTTCATTAAACTCAGAGATCGAGACCAGAGGTGGTGTGAAGGTCCGGGCAGGATGGACTTTGTTTTTCACAAACAGCTTTTCTATTTTGCCTTTGATTCTGTTTATTATAAATAATAAAATGAAAAGGTGAAATCTGTTGTTTTTGTAAACTTGATTGGAATGTGGCCTTCAGCCTTTTGTTATTAATCTGATTAAATTAATAAATAAACTTAAATCAGGAGGGTGGACTGACTTTTTCCTGTTGACTGTGTTTTTGTTTACTGACAGTTTGCAGATAAATAATTCACAGAAATGAAATAATCTGGTATAATTTGACCCATTTAAAGACGAGTTAAAAAAAATTAAAAATTCTCAATCAAAAGATAAAAGATAACTCAGGATAAGTTTTAAATATTTCATACCGATGTAATAATTCTCTAACGTTATGAAAAACTGTTATTTGATCAATATATGAAGCAGTTTTTGATGTGATCTGTAAGAAGTTTGTGGACCGGTCTAGGGTGTCCTCTCACAAAAAGACCGATGGAGACATCAGCATCTTGTACCTTTGACTTCAGCCTTGCTGTGTTCTTCCTCCTCCTCCTCCTCCTCCTGATCTTCACGTCCTTCCAGTTTCTGTCCATCAGGACTCTCAGACTGGAGCTGCTGATCAGCAGAAACAGTCTCTGGTTCTGGTTCCACCTTCGTCTCCTGGACCTGAACGTCTGACGGAGCAGACGGGTCTTTGATCGAAGTCGAGGAGGAATCGACCGAAGCAGGAAGCAGAGACTCGTTTTCTTCTTCTTCTCTCTCGTCTTCAGCGCTCACCGTCTTCCCTCTGGTGGATTTTCTCACTGAAGGAGGAAATAAAATCTGAGATTTTCATGTTTTTAAAGGAGAACGTGAGCGAGTTCAACGTGTTCCTGTTACCAGCAGCCTTTCTAGTTCTCTTCCCTGGTCGGCCTCTTGTTCTGGGCGTCGCTTCATTTTCCTCCTCTTCGGTCTTTCCCAACTCTTCTGTCGTCTC